CGCTTTTGCACTGACCTTTGTATAATTCATTTACAGAAGTTTTAGCATTCAGAATAACACACTGCTGAAAATTCTTGGTCCTTACCTGTCAAAGCCTGAAAATTTCCTTTGCCAAAAATGAACTTCTTATCAGGAGTTTTTGTAGAAATAATTATTTTATCTAAAATTGTCCAGTTCTGAAGGGTATCTACAAGAGCAACAGCTTCAGCAATCTGTAACTCAGCTTTAGGATTAGAGGGGGGGAAAAAAAGATATACCATCATAATTCTTATATAGAGACTTCTAGTAACTGTGATACATATATAAACAGGAAAAGCCATAAACTAAACTGAAATTCTAATAGTGTATTTCCTTTAACTAGTAGTACTGAGCAGGAGATATTTAACTAGAGTAATTAATGCTAGTTTGATGCAATTTTACCACAAAAGACATCTTTTTGGCCAGTAAAATTACTTCCAGGGTGGTTGATTTGGCAAATTTTTGAATTGTGTAGTCAACATAGAAATTACCTATGTTTTTGCTTCAAGACTGTACTTTCTTCTTAAACGTTAAACAAGTCATTAGTTGAAAATGCATATGCTGTTATTTTAGATGAACACTGAATCACATGAATCCATTGGTGTCTTGCAGCAGTGTTTGAAGAATTCCTACTGCTGGATACCTTGCTGCAAACTTCACTACTGCTGATTCATAAAGAATCTACATTGAATTTTGACCTGAATTTTGACCAGCAAATTCCAACACTATAGTCTGGTTCATTTTTTTTTTTTAATCTATATTGAACAGCACCAATTAAAGGGGACTTTGACAGGTCAGAATAAGACCCTCTTTTCACAGCGGGTAATTATACTCCTCTAGATATTAAAATACATTTGATGTATTAAATAGATTACCTCGGTCCAAAAGGTAATATATCATTAAACAAACCACGATTCTCTTTCTCCTCATACTGTCAGTGTTTCTTTCAAAAAGCACACCATTTCTGTTGCATTTGAGAGGGCTCAAGAATCATTCCAAAACATTTGTTTGAACTTCAGGCTCTTCATCTGGAGGGCCTAAATAAATGGAAAGGGTCACTGCCATTCTGCATTTCTGGACAGAAAGATGCCTTTATAGTTATGCATTTTCTTTTTTTCTTCCTTTTTCTCCTCCCAGTTGTAAAACTAGAACATAGTATTTGAGAAAAAATGTTCAGTGTGTAAGTATTCAGTTAAACCCTTCAAAGGTTACAGGCTTTATTCTGCATAGTAACAATTCCTTATACTTAGCAGGGTAATAAAATCGAATGAAATCTAGAATGAAATCTAGGTTTATACAATAATAAACTTGAATACAAGCATATGAGATATGTCAAATATGAACCGAGATGGCTATATATACGCATAGCTTTATATATGTGTGAGCTGCAAGATAAATATTTCTTCTGATACAACTGGGCATCAGCAAAGTGTTCAGAGAGGCATCATAACCCTTAAACGGCAGGATAAATACAAGTCTATCAGCTAGCTAGCTACAAAGGAACTGCGGTGCTACATAAAGGTAATGTGAGGGGATTTGCCTAAGTAACAGCCCGAGAGCCGCTTTCTGCGGCCAAAGCAGAGGACG